ATCTTGGATCTTTCTGGAATATAACAAATAAAGAATTTATTTATTTGTCTTGACAGCAGCCCATAACAGCCCTATTTAAAGCACTTCTTTTACAGAAAATAAGCATTGAGAGATCCTCAAATGCCCTCTGCAGCACCCTTCTACCAGCGTTCGCAAACAGGGCTGATTTTCCCAGAATTTAAATCCCTGGAGCTTGTCTTCTTTGCCAGTCCTCAATTGCACCAAGCTTGTCTCCCCTTCTTCGGCCCCCAACACACTGTCGACCTACCAATTCGCTTGCCAAGATCGTCAGGTGCAGCTGACTGGAAATTCAAAGGCCGCTTTCCCAGGGCAGGGGGCAGGGCTGGCAGGAAGCGCCTCTGCCGCGGCACCCTCCCTTCTTCCCGGCAAGCCCTCTCTAGGAATAGACGCTCGGTTAGATTAACCCTCAAGACGACTGGAACATCACTGAGCGGCAATTTAAAAATAATAAGCATAAGAAGACCGTAAGAAGAGCCCTGCTGGATCAAACCAACAGTCCATCTAGTCCAGCATCCTGTTTCACACAGTGGCCAACCAGTACAAAATCTAAGTCCAGTGGGCACCTTTAAGACCAACAAAGTTTAATTCTGGGTTAGTTTTAAGTGTGTCCTGGAGCTGCGGTGGCTCAAGTGGTTAAGGCGCTGACCTGCAGGCTGTGGTAGGTTGGTAGTTCACCAGTTCGAGACCCGAGTGTGCCGCATGACAGAGTGAGCTCCCGTCTCTAGTTCCAGCTCCTGCCAACCTAGCAGTTCGAAAGCAAGAAATTGCAAGTAGAGAAATAGGGACCACTTCGGTGGGAAGGGAACAGCGTTCCGTGCGCCTTGGTGTTTAGTCACGCCTGCCACATGACCACGGAAACGTCTTCGGACAGCGCTGGCTCTTCGGCTTTGAAACGGAGATGAGCACCGCAACCCTAGAGTCGGACTCGACTGGCTTTCGAGCAAGGGAACCTTTACCTTTAAGGGTGTCACTGGACTCGAGCTTTGTTCTCTTGCTTCAGTCAGGCTAGGGGCCAACCAGTTCCTCTGGAGGGCCAAGGGCAGGGCATAGAGGCCAAGGCCTTCCCCCGGCCTGGTGTGACCTCCTGGCTCTTGGATTCAGAGGTTTAGTGCCTCTGAATGTGGAGGTTCTCCTCAGTCACCTTGGCTATCAGTCACTGATAGACCACTCCTCCATGAATCTATCTAATCCCCTTTGAAAAGCTGTTTATTCCTGTGGCCATCACAACAATCCTCTGACAGCGAATTCCACATTTTAACCACTCTCTCTGTAAAAAAGTATTTCCTTTTTGTCCATCCTGAACCTACCGCCCATCAGCTTCACTGGATGCCCTCAAGTTCTACTATTTGGGAGAGAGGGAGAAAAATTTTGCTTTGTCAACTCTCTCCACCCCGTGCATAATTCTATAAACATTTATCATGTCCTCCCTTTAGTCATTTCTTTTCTAAACTGAAAAGTCCCCGACTCTTCCACCTTTCCTCTTAGGGAAGGTGCTCCAACCCCTTAATCATCTTGGTTGCCCCTCCTCTGCACTTTTTCCAGCTCTGTAATGTCCTTTTGGAGATACGGTGACTAAAATTGTACACAGTATTCCAAATGAGGCTGCACCATAGATCTATACAGGGGCACTGTAGGATTGGCCATTTTATTCTCAATCCCTTTTCTAATTACCCCTAACGTAGAGTTTGCCTTTTTCACTGCTGTAGCACACTCGTTTGACGCTTTCACTGGGCTACCCACCAATGCTCCCTCTAAGCTGTGGAGTCCTGTGAGCAAAAATTCTACTTTGTGAGCTACTGGCATCAAAGCTGTGAGTGAGTGATTTGGCTCTTCTATAAATTAGTTTGCTCGGGAGCCATCCTTCCTGAGCTAAGACAAAAAGGTGTGAGTGAGCCGGAGGCTAAAAAACTGTGAGCTAGCTCACACTAACTCAGCTTAGAGGGAACACTGCTACCCACTACCATCTTTTTTCCTCCCAAGTCTCAGCAAGTTCAGACCCCATTCGCCTATACTTGAAGCTGGGATTTTTTATTTCCTTTTTTTGTCCCTATGCAAATATCAAAGAACCAGGTAAAGGCAAAGGTTCCCTTGCTCGAAAGCCAGTCGCGTCCGACTCTAGGGTTGCGGTGCTCATCTCCGTTTCAAAGCCGAAGAGCCAGCGCTGTCCGAAGACGTTTCCGTGGTCATGTGGCCGGCATGACTAAACACCAAGGTGCACGGAACGCTGTTCCCTTCCCACCGTAGTGGTACCTATTTATCTACTTGCAATTTCTTGCTTTTGAACTGCTAGGTTGGCAGGAGCTGGAACTAGAGACAGGAGCTCACTCTGTCATGTGGCACCCAGGTCTCGAACTGCTGAACTACCGACCTTCCACAGCCTGCAGTTCAGCCTAGTGAGTCACATTAATAGCGGGGGGTGGGGGGAATTGCCTGTATTAAATCCAAGAGATTGAAAGGAAAATCTTCATTGGAAGCAGTGCGGTGTAGTGGTTAGGGTGCTGGTTTAGTGTTGGGAGATCCCGGTTCATACCCCTATTGTGTGTGTGAGTGTGTAAGTTTCTTCCTTGGTTATTTCTTATGGAAGATACCGACTTCAGGCTTTATTCCACAGGCGAACAGTTCTCGATAAGACTCTGGTTGCTGTGGTGGCACAGGGGGTGGGGGTGGCACCTGCAGGTAGGGATGCCAGCCTCCAGGTGGGACCTGGGGTTCCCCTGGAATTACAGCTCATCGCCAGACTACAGAGATCAGTTCCCCTGGAAAGAATGGATGCTTTGGAGGGTGGACTCTGTGGCATTGGGCCCCACTGAGTTCCCTGTCTTCTCCAGGCTCCACCTCCAAATCTCCAGGAGTTTCCCAACCAGGATTTGGCAACCCTACCCCCACCCCCTGCTGGTGGCCCAGGGGGACTTGGCAATTTGACCTGCAGGTGACGGGGGCAAGGAAAATGGTGCTGAGGTGGAGGTGGGCTGCAAATGTGCTGTTTTCTCCCTACACTATAGGTTTGCCAACTTCCAGGTGGAGCCTGGAGACCTCCCAGAATTACAACTGCTTTCCAACGAATAGACTTGGATGGGCGACTACCCAGGAATACCAGGGTCGCAATGCAGAGGCAGGTGATAGCAAATGTCTCTTGCCTTGAAAGCCCTACAGGGTCGTCATAAGTCAGCTGTGACTTGAGGACAAAAAAAAATAAATTAATGCCCTGACCTGGATAGCCCAGGCAAGGTCGATCTTGTCAGATCTCGGAAGCTAAGCGGGGAGGTGGGGGGCAGGCTTTATTCAGCCACCTCTCTAAATATCTTCCGGGCCCCCAGTAGGGGTCAGTCACCAGAGGCTGCCATGACTTCCAGGTCCACATACACAGACATTAAAAAAATACAAAAAATACGCCCCCCCCCAAATTAATTAATTAAACCTTCTGAGATCCCTCCCATCCCCAACCCACCATTCCCTCAAGTTAGTTGTAGCTCTGGGAGATCTCCAGGCCCCACCTGAAGAATGGCAACCTTAGACGGACCTGCTCATTCAGCCTTCAAATTTTTGTCAGGGGGCAGAGCTAGAGGGCTGTCCAGGCTGGGAAACTCCTTGACATTTGGGGGAACGGCCTGGGGAAGGCCAGCTTTGAGAAGGGGAGGGATCTCAGCAGGGCATAATAGGAGAGGAACCATTTTCTCCATGGGAACTGATCTGTGCACTATGGATTTAGGGTTGCCAACCTCCAGGTGGTGGCTGGAGATCTCCTGCTATTCAAACTAATCTCCAGGTGACAGAGATCACTTCACCTGGAGAAAATGACCACTTTGGAAAGTGGACTCTATGGCATTATACTCCCCTTTTCAAACCCTGCCCTCCGCAGGCTCCACCCCCCAAAAAATCTCCAGGTATTTCCCAACCTGGAGCTGGCAACCATATAAAACAAATAAATGAATGACCTTTAGCCATAGATTGCATTCATTGGTCTTCACTTTGTTCCACGGCGGAAGGTAGGATGTGGTTGCACTTCTAATGCACTTTTCCATGGGAGCCAACCCTGCTAAACCATAATAGGAGAACCTAGAAAGCAGGAGAAACTGGGAAGGGGGCGGTCACAAACTCCATGTTGGTCCCAAGTAGACTTGCAGGAAAAGCAGGGGGCAAGACAAAGACATCAGGCAAGGCCCTCATAGACTTTATTTGGGTGGAAAAGGAGTAGAGGAGGTCTCCCAAGTTTGCATCGCTGCTCCTGCCCCACACATGGCGCCCACCCCACCGACGACCCCCCCCCAGAAGCCGGAAGTGTGGGACAGGCAACGCTTGGTCTTTCCCCAACCTCTACGATGGGGAAGTTGTGAAGTTTTGAGTGTTGGGGGGAGGCGGAATATGCATCGCCGGCTCTCACTCGTATTTACAAAGGAGCAATTTCCCACTCCGTGTAATGCGACTGCTTATTCACCAAATATCTACAAGCTTTGCAGCCCCTCTGGAAAAAAAATAATAAAATGTTATAATAAAACGGTATAAACTAATTAAAAAATCCCAGAAGTCGGCTATCTAGCTGTGCAAAATAATAATAATAATAACTGCATTTTTTCTGATTTTTTTAAAAATCAAGACTTTGGTCTTGCGTTGCACCACTAACCCCACCCCACTGAATGGGGCCGCTGACTCCCCAAGAAATTGTGCATTGCTGCACACTTCTCCCGGATCCCCCCCCGGCATAACGTCTGAAACTGTAGAATTCCTCTACCTTCTCTATTTCCCCCCTGCATAAAATGCTTCTTCCGTTCCTCTCTTTCCTATCCCCGGCCCACGGAATCTGTTATACAAGGGCATTTTGTTTGCGCTTCCTTGGAACACCCCAAAATATTTCGGCGCCATTTGAGGGGTGGGGGGGGGAATAGTTTTGATTACAGCGAGTCTTGATTTCCTAGAGAGGAAGGACATTTTGGAGCGAGGGACCCAAAAGTGTGCGTCACTTCCTGTTCCGTTCGAGCAAAGAGGGAAGTTGCATTGCCTCGGGAGAGCTAACCGTAGGCTGGTGAGTGGACGGAGAAGCCATCAGAAGTGCACAAGGTGAGCAATTTTGGAGGGGAAGAAAGGGCAGGTGAAATTCTTGGTAGGTGGGGGAGGAAGAGAATGGGGATTAATTCCCTCTCCTGGTGAAGATCCTGAGCTGTGGGCCAGGACTGACTCGACACACGACGTTGCATGTAAATGGGGGGTTGCCAACTTTCCAGATCGTTCTTGCTCCTTTGTGCTTTGATCAAGGTGGGGGGGGGGGCGACGATCTTTAGCCGATGCCAGGGGAAAAGCTTCCCCCACCCCTACTGCTGTCTGCAGATCGAAGCTCAGGAGCAGTCCAAGCAACCTAATTTCCCTGGTCAGTTGGCAACCCTCGTCTCCAGGATAGGAAAGGCTTGGTTTTAGTTTGATTGTGTTAACATGGATCTTTCTATGGTGTTGCTTGGATTACTTGTCTACATTGACATAGCTACATGAGAGCCGGTGGTGTGGTGCAGCTATTGTCAGACTAGGATCTGGGAGACCTGTGTCCAAATCCTCACGTGTCATGGAAGCCTGTTGGGTAAGCTTGGGCCAGTCACATTCTCTCAGCCTAACCTGCTTCACAAGAATTGTTGTGAGGATAAAATGAAGGAAAGGAGAACAATGTAAGCGACTTTGGGTCCCCATCAGGGATAAAAGTGGGGTATAAATGAATTAAATAAATAGCAAAGTTTGAGTCCAGTGGCACCTTAAAGACCAACAAAGTTTAATTCTGGATACATCCTTTCGTGTACATGCGCACTTCTTCAGAGGCAGAAGTGTGCATGCACATGAAAGTTTCTACTCAGAATTAAACTTTGTTGGTCTTAAAGGTGCCACTGGATTCAAACGTTGGTCTAACAAAATATAGTTACTATGTGAACTGTCCTGAGCAGGTTTTCTGGGTGTAAATCCTTTTAAGAAATAAATAAAGGGGTCTCCCCTTATTGAATTTGAGCTTGCTGCATCCTTGGGCTTGGGCCCCCCAAAACCAGATTTGCTGCTGTTGTAATAATAATTTTACATATATACAAAACAGCTCAAAACTCCTACGCAGTCAAAGCCGGTGTGGTATAGTGATGAAACCGTTGGCGTTGATTCAGGTATCTCCCTTTAGCTATGGATGCTGGTTGGTTGCTGTTTGGCCCGTCATTGCTGTTAATAACTTTTTAAAAAATCCGAGTCTTCCTCCAAATTGCTTGGGGTGACATAATACAGCCCATCCTGCCACCTCCACAACAACCCTGCAAGCAGAGCTGTTACTGATTGTGAGTCTGGTGGATGCTCATTGTATTAGTCCTGAAACGGTTCGAGATGATGTGGTGTAATGGTTAGAGTGTTGGACTAGGGCATGGGTAAAGGTAAAGGTTCCCTTGCTCGAAAGCGAGTCGAATCCGACTCTAGGGTTGCGGTGCTCATCTCCGTTTCCAAGCCGAAGAGCCAGCGCTGTCCGAAGACGTTTCCATGGTCATGTGGCCGGCATGACTAAACACCAAGGCGCACGAAGTGGTACCTATTTATCTACTTGCAATTTCTTGCTTTCGAGCTGCTAGGTTGGCAGGAGCTGGAACTAGAGACGGGAGCTCACTCCATCACGCGGCACCCGGGTCTCGAACTGCTGAACTACTGACCTTCCACAGCCTGCAGTTCAGCGTCTTAACCACTAGAGATGTAAAATTTCTGGAAATTTTGAAGCTCAGGGAAAAAAACGGGTTTTTTCCAGGGGGAAACGGAAATTTTCGGAAAAATTGAAAAAAATGCTACATTAGCATTTTTGTTGTCTTTTCTAGATTGAAAGTCATTCTGTTACTTTAGGAACATTAAATATGACTATGGACATTTTAACTTGGCATGAAATTATCACAACTAGCATATTAAAAATATAGTGTATCCAAACAATTATTACAAACAGAATACCCACCCACATGCAAAAACAAAACTGAAACTTTTTTATTTTCTTCTGACAATCGCACCTCCTAAAGGAAGAAATGCATCTTGTTCTTGCATTGGAGAGTTCAGTTTGTAACCTAGGACTTGCTTGTCCTCAGTGCACAGAAATTAGATCAATCTGATACCAGGTCCTACAATGCCAAGAGCATAATATATATATATATTAGAAATGATTTGGTAAATATTTGAACACCTTGTCTTAAAATATTTTATTCATCATGTTAAAATAAAACGTTCCATAATCAATTTTTTTCTTTTCTTTTTTCAATTTTTCGGAAAAAAACAAAAAGGCTTCAGGAAAAAACCGTTTTTCCCCTGATTTTTTCCGTTTTTTTCCCGGGCCTTCACATCTCTAGGCATGGGAGAGCTGGGTTTGAATCCCCACTCCGTTACAGAAGCTTGTTGAGTGGCATTGGGCCAGTCACATTCTCTCAGCCTGATCTACCTCACAGGGATGTTGTGGGAATAAGGTTGTTGTGAGGATTTAAAAGGAGGAGAGAGAACGACGTAAGCTGCATTGGGGGGAAAAGGCAGGGAATAAATAAAGTAAATAAATAAAATGGAGGAGGAAAAAATGATGCTGTAAGTCGCTTTGGGTCTCCATTTTGGAGGAAAGTGGGATACAAATGAAAACATAAATAAAAATGTGAGAATTAGCTGTTGTAGATTTTCTGGGCTGTATGGCCATGGTCTTGGCGTTGTAGGACCTGACGTTTTGCCAGTAGATGTGACTGGCATCCTCAGAGGTATAACACAGAAATATGGAGTACTCTCTCTGTCAAGGTGAGAAGAAAAATGGTAGGCAGGTAATTTATATCTACTCAGGAAGGTGGGGTAGGGCTGAGTCAGGTCCTGCAATGCCAAGAGCATAGTTATACAACCCAGAAAATCTATAACAGCTAATGAACTCCGGCCGTGTGAAAGCCTTCGACAACATACTAAAAATTTGAGACGTTTGAAAACATGAATGGCACCTGGTATTTCTGGCCACTGTGTGATACAGAGTGTTGGACCGGATGGGCCTTTGGCCTGATCCAACATTGGCGTCTCTTATGTTCTTATGAATAGAAGTTTGAAAAGTTTGAACTGTTACCTGTTGCATTTTGGGCCCCTGCAGTTTAGAACATAAGAGACGCCAATGTTGGATCAGGCCAAAGGCCCATCCAGTCCAACACTCTGTGTCACACAGTGGCCAGAAATACCAGTGCCATCAGGAGGTCCACCAGTGGGGCCAGGACATTAGAAGCCCTCCCACTGTTGACCCCCCCCCCAAGCACCAAGAAGACAGAGCATCACTTGCCCCAGAGCCCCTATCTATACCTTGTGGCTAATAGCCACTGATGGACCTCTGCTCCATATGCTTATCTAATTCCCTTTTGAAGCCGTCCATGCTTGCAGCCGCCACCACCTCCTGTGGCAGTGAATTCCATGTGTGAATCACTCTTTGGGTGAAGAAGTACTTCCTTTTATCCGTTCTAACCCGACCGCTCAGCAATTTCATGGAGCGCCCACGAGTTCTTGTATTGTGAGAAAGGGTATCAGGGTGTGTGTGTGTTTCATCTCTGTCCTTATGCCATGGTGGCTGAGGAGAACCTCCAACATTCCAGCACTCAGCCTCTGAATCCTAGAGCCAGGAGGCCACATCAGGGGAAGGCCTCAGCCTCTATGCCCTGTTGTTGGCCCCCTAGAGGAACTGGTTGGCCACTGTGTGAGATGGGATGCTGGACTAGAGGGACTATTGGTCTGATCCAGCAGGGCTCTTCTTATGTTCTTATGACACATATGTGTATCTGCCTAGTCAGGGTACCGCTTTTTTCATCTGAGGAAGTGGGATTTAGCAAAAATGCGTATTTTAAGAAGTCCCAAGCGACGTGCTTTTGAGGTATTTTTGCTGGAATGTGGCTGTTTGTTGATGCAGAGCTGAAGGTAGAAAGTTCTCTCCTTTCCAAATTCCACCCACATGATGGACAATGCAACATATGTGGTAGATGCAGGTGATGTTACCAGGTCAGTGACATTAATGGAGGCTGCACCTTAAACACACAAAAAGTGAGATACTAACTAAGGTTGACTTACCTCACAGGGTTGGTTCTGAGGATAAAATGGAGGTGGAGAGAACCATGTACGTAAACTCATGCACACCCTGAGCTCAGTAGATAAGAAGAGAAGAAGAAGATATTGGATTTATATCCCGCCCTTCACTACCCGAAGGAGTCTCAGAACGGCTTACAGTCTCCTTTCCCTTCCCCTCCCCACAACAGACACCCTCTGTGAGGTGGGTGGGGCTGAGAGAGCTCTTGAGAGAACAGCTCTGAAAGAACTTGTAACTGACCCAAGCTCACACCAGCAGCTGCATGTGAAAGAGTGGGGAATCAAACCCCATTCTCCCAGATTAGAGTCTGTGCTCCTAACTACTACACCAAACTGACTTAAAATGCACTAAACAATGGGATTCAAATGCACAACATAAAATACTCTTACTAATGCTGTCTTTCTGTTAATTTCTCTCTATTTGATGGTCCTTTACCTGTCTCCTTCCCAGTTCTTGGACAGGATCTGCGTGTTTGCCATCATGGTGAAGTCTTGCTGCGCCATCAACTGCAACAACAAATTTTCACTCGGCAATAACATCTCATTCCACAGGTAAATCTTTAAATTCCATCCGTGGCTATCTCACATCATGGCCTGAGGGCTTTATGAAGCCCTTTGACTTAGAAGGCAAAAAAAGAAACTCCCTTTCACATAGAAAACTGGCAAATCAGGGGAACTACTCTTTTGGCTGGCATACAGGTCTTATTTATTTGTTGGTTTTCACACTTGTACCCTGCCATTCTCCGAGGACTCAGGGTAGCTTGCACTAGCCATTACTCAAGCCTCATACCATACAACTGCCTTAAATAAGAACATAAGAAGAGTCCTGCTGGATCAGAGCAGTGGTCCATCTAGTCCAGCATCCTGTCTCACACAGTGGCCAACCAGTTCCTCTGGAAGGCCAACAACAAGGCCTTCTTCCCCTGAGGTTGGCTCCTGGCTCTGGGGTTCAGAGGATTACTGAATCTGAATGGGGAGGTTCCCCTCAGCCACCATGGCTAGTAGCCACTGATAGACCTATCCTCCATGTACATCCTCTGGCAGCAAGTTTAAAATCTTAAAACCTGCTGTTTGATCGTGAACTCCACAAAAGGTTCTCTGAAATTAAAAGGGAAAAAAAAAATCTTCCATGTTTCTTCAGGCAGACCATCCCAATGCAGTAGTCCTGCCACTGAAAATTCCTTTGCCGGAGCTGCCGCCTAGCATGCCATTTGGGGGAGACGGCTCATTGAAGAACGCAGTTTATTTCTTTAAAAACTTCGTATTCTTTCTGCCCTCAGAAGTGTCCATTAAGGCAGCTAGCAATTTAATTTTTAATTTAAAAGGGGGGGCCTTTTTAATTTTTAATGTTTTGCTCCGGCAGACTATTTTTATGTTTTTTGAATTCCCTAAATACCAAAGAGCTTTCACTTTGGCCTGCTTTAATGCTCTTTTGGAAGAGAGAAATACATTCAACCATGTCCATTTGGCAGGACAAACACGCTTCCCTTGCTCTTATTATGTTTGCCCTGCCAATTGGACATGGTTGAAACAGTCAATCACGTATTGTTGTCTTGCCCTTTGTAAAGGGAGATTCAGTCTCTGTACATAACTCCAGTCTTAACAAATTTTCCAGGCAGACCCGATTATTTTTGTTGTTGTTTTTCCTTCCTCCCTCCTCTCAGATTGTTCATACAAAACCACCTTTAAGGTAGTCAAATTTTACACCTTGGTTCCGTGCGCCTTGGTGTTTAGTCATGCCGGCCACATGACCACGGAAACGTCTTCGGACAGCGCTGGCTCTTCGGCTTTGAAACGGAGATGAGCACCGCAACCCTAGAGTTGGACTCGACTGGCTTTCGAGCAAGGGACTTTCAAATCCCCACCCAGCCATGAAGCTTGCTTGGGCGGCTGGGGTGGCCAGTCATTCTCTCTTAGCCTAACCTACCTCCCAAGATTGCTGTGAGGATAAAAAGGGGGAAGGGGGACCATGCATGCCCCTCTGAGAGCAAAGGCAGACTAGAAGCAGACACCTGTTTAAAGTTTTCCATGGCTCAGGCCCGGGGTATCTGAAGGAACGTCTTCTCCCATATGTTCCTGCCCAGTAGTTGATTGCAGGGAGAGGCCCTCCCACTTGTCCCAGCAATCAAAGACGCTTGTCTGGTGGGTACTCGAGAGAAAGCCTTTTCTGTGGCAGCCCCACGATTATTGGAACCGTGTCCATCATCCCCTCACTTTCCACCTTTAGGGGGCAGTTGAAGATGGTTTTGTTTGGGACCTCATCTGATTAAGTTATTAGCAATCCTAAACTATGGTTCTGAATTTTGGGTTTTTTAAAATGTATCTTATCTGCATTGTAAGCCGCCTTGAGCTCCGTATGGAAGAAAGACAGTTAATAAACGTTTTAGACAAATAAAATGAACTGGTGGATGCTGACTCTGGCCCCGCCAAGCCACTTGTATGCAGTGCCCTCCCCCATTTTTGAATAAACAGAAAACGACTCCCTCTCTGTTGTCCGTTCCCGAATGGCTGCAGGTTTCCTCTTGGGAGAAAAGACCTGTTAAAGAAGTGGGTCTGGAACATTCGCCGGAAGAACTTCTGTCCCACGCGCCACCACGTCATCTGCTCGGAGCACTTCGAGGAGGCGGACTACCTTGAGAACGTGGCGTCCGGGAGGCGATACCTAAAGCCCGACGCTGTTCCCACAGTATTCAGCAAACCTGAGCGGCTAAAGAGGGTAAATCTCTCCGTCAGTCACTTCTTAGGGTCATATGACTTGAAGGGGGGGAGTGCTTTTAATTCCCACCTCTGGTGGGAATTTAGCCCCTGTAGGGGAAGAGGCAAGGGCAATAGAGATTAACATGATTCTGTGATTCTAACATGTGTTTTTAAAAAAATAAGTATTACACAGGGGGGAGGATGTGTCACTGTTGGTTAGCCTCAAGAGCGTAATGTGCGTGGGGGGTGAAAGGATTGGTCACTGTTGGTTAGCCACAAGAGCTTAATGCAGGGGTCCTCCTTTTTGAGCCAATAGGCACCTCCGGAATTCTGACACCATGGTGGGTACAGCCACAAAACGGCTGCCACAAAATGGCTACTGAAGGAGGCGGAGCCAGACACAAAATGGCTGCCACAGCTTACCTACAGTCACACAGTGAAGATCTTTGTGCTGTGGTGGCAGCTGCAGCCAAGACATCATTTTAAAAAATCTGCACGACCAATCAAATAACCGAAGATAATCAGAAGCCGTGCCGGGCAAAAGCCACACCCACTTTCTAAAAACACTGGGTGGGCACCAGGAAAGGGGTCAGTGGGCCCCACGGTGCCCACAGGCCCTACGTTCAGAACCCCTGGCTTAATGGAAGTTCCCTGTCCGGAGGCAGTATGCTTTCACGAGATCAGTTTGGTCCGATGAGGGGCTGGGCATCCAATCCCAGCACTGGATCACAGATGGACATTGTTGGAAGAGGCAAATTTTTTAATGTACTTGTTCATTCAGTTGAGCTTTTATTCCTCCCTTTCCCTAAGAGGCAGTAGGTTCAGGATGGAAAAAAGGAAATACTACTTTACACAGAGAGCGATTAAATTGTGGAATTTGCTGCCAGAGGATGTAGTGATGGCCACAGGAATAAACAGCTTTACCATGGGGATTAGATATATTCTTAGAGGTTAAGTCTTTCAATGGCTGCTAGCCATGGTGACTGAGAGGAACTTCCACATTCCGAGGCACTAATCTTCTGAATCTCAGAGCCGGGAGGCCACATCAGGGGAAGGCCTCGGCCTCCCTGCCCTGCTGTTGGTCCTCCAGAGGAACTGGCTGGCCACTGTGTGAGACAGGATGCTGGACTAGATGGACCCCTGGTCTGAACCTGCAGGACTCTTTCTGATGTGCTTAATTCACTGCATTTTATTCCTGGCCCCCAAAGGGCTGTCTAAATTTTTAAAATGTAGAGTTTGAGGGCTTCAGTTTAAGAGTTGTGATCTGGAGGCCGCTGGTTTGGATTTCATCTCAGCCACAAACCTGCTTGACGGCCTTAGGCTAAGCAGCTCTATTTCTCTCGGCCTCACATGAGGTCACGAAGTTGCCTTGACCTCCATCGGACCCTTGGCCTCTCGAGGTCGGCCTCGTCCGCTCTCCCCACCCAGTGCATGTTGGCATTTCCCACAAACGTTAGTCATGGAATAGAAGCAGGTTACTCTTTTGGCCACAGAACAGGGAAGGGATCGCACCCACGATGCTGCCTTACGCTGAGTCAGACCCTCGGTCCATCAAGCTCAGTACTGCCTGCTCGGACTGGCAGCCGCTCTCCAGGGTCCCAGGCGGAGGTCTTTCCCATCCCTTTCCATGTGATCCTTTCTAACTAGAGATGCTGGGGGTTGAAGCTGGGACTTCTGCATGCCAGGCAGGGGCTCTGCCACCGAGCCTCAGTTCCCCCTTCGGTAATACGGAGTGATAATAAGAGTGATAAGATCCCAGGGGGAATATATTTATTTTATTTATTTTTATTTCATTTGATTTATATCTTGTCCTCCCCGCAGGATGGTATACAAATGCTAGGCATTGGAGTTACTAATATTGTTGAGTTGGCATAAAGGTAAAGGTTCCCTTGCTCGAAAGCCAGTCGAGTCCGACTCTAGGGTTGCGGTGCTCATCTCCGTTTCAAAGCCGAAGAGCCAGCGCTGTCCGAAGACGTTTCCGTGGTCATGTGGCCGGCATGACTAAACACCAAGGCGCACGGAACACTGTTACCTTCCCACCGAAGTGGTACCTATTTATCTACTTGCAATTTCTTGCTTTCGAGCTGCTAGGTTGGCAGGAGCTGGAGCTAGAGATGGGAGCTCACTCCGTCATGCGGCACCCGGGTCTCGAACTGCTGAACTACTGACCTTCCACAGCCTGCAGTTCAGCGTCTTAACCACTTGAGCCACCGCAGCTCCTTGAGTTGGCATGTTGGTATCTAAATGTTTTTTGAGATGTTGGCGGTTCATGCTGCACCCAGTTAGCCATGGGTTCAGATCTGCCATAATGCAAAAAACCCCACATCTTTTATTGTAGCGGTAGAAAAGAGCAAGAGTCCAGGAGCACCTTAAAAGACTAACAAAATTGGTGGCAGGAGAGGAGCTTTGGTGAGTCAGAGCTCACCTCTTCAGAAAGCTCCTCCCCTGCCACCAATTTTGTTAGTCTTGAAGGTGCTGCTGGACTCTTGCTCTTTTCTACTGCTACAGACAGACTAACACGGTGACCCATCTTGTTGTTTTATTGTAACGGTGATCAGTTTGCGAAATTAGGGTCTAGTTTGCAAATGATCACTCGAATTCCTGGTTTGCCCCCAGGAATGTTTCATCACCTTAGCTCTTTCCCCTGCCACCCCTGTAGGGATCCAGCTGGTATCCCAGCATGCATTGCAGTAAAGATTTTGGTAGGGTATAAGCCAGGGTTAAGCTGGGACGTCCCAAGTTTGTACATCACAGGAAACCATAATTAACTGTAGTTGATCATTTTGTTCATTTATGTACTTTATTTATGCCTTGCAGTTCTCCCCAGTGGGGACCCAAAGCAGCTCACGTCATTCTCCTCCATTCCTCCTCACAGCAACCCTGTGAGGTAGGTTAGGCCAAATCTGTTTGTGACTAGCCCAAGGTCACCCAGTAAGCTTCCACGGCATGAGTGGGGATTCTAGCACTGGTCACCCAGATCCTAGTCTGAGACTCTGACCGAACCCACTTCAGGTCATGATCTCAGATTCTCGTTTGATTTCGCCTAGGTAAGCATAGTTGCTGGAGATGAGCACGCTAACCGCAGTGGAGTTTGACTAAAGCAGTTCCAAGTCACGGCTGACCTGTGCTTTTCCAAAACACATTTGCTCCACAGGGCCCTAAAAAGAGAAGACCCCTGCTCCGACGAAAGCCCCCCGATCCTGAGCCGCCAAAGCCCAAGTCCGGCGGTGTAGAAGCACCATCTCCGGGGAGCGATGTCGTCGGTCTGGAACATTCCTATTCCCTCCCAGTGAGCCCAGGTAAGCGAACATGTTGAAGTTTCAGCCGAAGTCTTCAGGAATACCAGTCGTGAATCGATGTTCCCTCTAATTTTTCCCCTTACTGAGCGGAGCAGTTCACATCCTTAGCAGAACAGAACTGCTGTAATCTTAAAATAGGCAACTGCTGAGGGGGGCTTCCTATGTTAATGAGCAGCCACTCACATGCACAGCTTAGAGGGAACACTGTCGTGGATCCTTGTAATAGAAAACTTGATGTGCGAAATGAGGTCCCCTGTGGAAAAGGGAAGGGCGTATCTTTCCTATTGGGGACTCCCCAGAAAACAGCTTATAAATTGAGAAGACACAACACCATCTCCCAGTTTTAATTGGCAAGGGTGCATTACTTGCAGTCTCTTCAAAGGAGAGGAAGAGAAGGAGATTGTAAGCAATGTTCCCTCTAAGCTATGGAGTCCTGTGAGCAAAAATTCTACTCTGTGAGCTACTGGCATTAAAGTTGTGAGCAAGCAATTTGATTACTGGATAAACTGGTTTGCTCTGGAGCCATCCTTTCTGAGCTAAGACAAAAATGTGTGAGCCAGAGGCTAAAAAACTGTGAGCTAGCTCACACTAACTCAGCTTAGAGGGAACACTGATTGTATGCCACTCTGGGACTCCGAGTGAAGGATGGGGTATAGATCTAATCTCTCTTCTCTTAATTTCTAGGCCAGGCAGTGCCCTGCACATAGGACTTTTGGGGCGATTTTATATGAGGGGTGTTTGGGCTTCTTTTCTCTCTGGCTGCCAAACTACCCATCTGCCGGAGGGGTCTGACTACTAACAAGGTAGCTAAGTCGGCCTGCGATGGCACAGCTGGGAACGAAGGCCCAGCAGCCTCGGATTTCTCTCCAGCATAGGCAACTCCTACTTCAGCGCAGAGAAGCCACCAGGGTGTTTCCCTGACTCTTGGCATCTGTGTCTCTGTCCCTTCAGCCCCGGATCTTCACTTGGCACCTGTACGGGAGCAACGCCCGGCAGACCCCGAAGCGGGCAAAGGCCCCCGCCTCCTCCAGGCTAGGCCGAAGAGAGAATGCAGGGAGAGGGCGAGGCCAAATTTCCCAGATGGGCCCGTGGCCATCTCCGCCGGGGAGCGCCGGAGCTTCCGCCAGCTCCGCTACCAGGAAGTTGACGGGCCCCTTGAACTCTGCAGACGCCTCTGGGAGCTTTGCCACCTGTGGCTGAAGCCCGGGAAGCACACCAAGCTGCAGATGTTGGACCTGGTGATCTTGGAGCAGTTCTTGGCCGTCCTGCCCCCGGAGATGCGGAGCTACGTCCAGGGAGAAGACCCCGCCAACTGCGACCAGGCGGTGTCCCTGGCAGAGGACTTCCTGCGGAACCAGCAAGGGGGAGAGGTGAGAACCGTTTCATCCCGGCGTTCAGGGCTCTGGGCACGTGCACAAGGGTCGCCGGTCCTCCCGGCGGTGTTTCCCGAGAGGCCCCTCGTCCGTCCGTTTGAAATGTTTGCGTGTGTTTTTCAGCCGTGACGGTTCATAAGAACAGTGAGGCAAGAATTAAAAGATAGACATGTGGAGCGGCCGTTAATTGGAAAAAATATATATAACGTGTGTTTACTAAATTAAAGTGAAGCTATTCATCTTTTATAATTGAGCTTAAGACCTTTGGTCATAGAAGCTAATAAACATAAGTAAGTAAGTGAAGCAGCAGAGGGGAAATTACATCGAAGCCGTTTCTTTCACTCTCTCTATCATTTCAGGTGCGGAGGCCACCGGCAGAGAAGTCTCCCCTGGGCACCTGGCATAAGCTTCAGTTCAAGGATACCCCACAGAAGGAGGCCAGAAACGCCACCTCACTGAGTAAGACTCCTTCATACCTCCTTTACAGGACACCGTACAGTTCCTAGGACATGTTTCTTGAGTCTCTTCCTGAGGGTGGCCTGAAGTTTGGAGAGTTGCTTATGTAATCCTCCAGTCCTGTGTGAGGCAGCTTCTCAGCTTGTGCTTCTCTTTATGAGAAATGGGCCTGGATTGACATGACAGATGACAGGGCTTCTCCTCGCATGAAAAGCCTCCAGAATGGCTTCGAGTGGCCTGGACCGGTGCGTCTCTGGTGCCTCCTGAAAGGTAATCAGCATCTCCTGATCTGGGCTACTGCCACTCCCTTGAGATAACCGAGGCTTGCAGCTGCCAGCAATTACCTCCACCAGGCTACCTTCCTCCTCCAAGGATGGATCCTGTCAAACTTATGACCCAATCATCAGGTCTTAGTAAATTATAGGCTCATTCAGCCCTCATCCCTTACAGCTGGCTTTAAGCAAAACAAAACAGAAGTTCAGTGGCTTAAAGACTCAAAGCATTTATTCAATTTAGAACATAAGAACATAAGAGACGCCAATGTTGGATCAGGCCAAAGGCCCATCCAGTCCAACACTCTGTGTCACACAGTGGCCAGAAATACCAGTGCCATCAGGAGGTCCACCAGTGGGGCCAGGACACTAGAAGCCCCTCCCACTGTTGACCCCCCCCCCAAGCACCAAGATGACAGAGCATCACTTGCCCCAGAGCCCCTATCTATACCTTGTGGCTAATAGCCACTGATGGACCTCTGCTCCAGATGCTTATCTAATTCCCTTTTGAAGCCGTCTATGCTTGTAGCCGCCACCACTTCCTGTGGCAGTGAATTCCATGTGTTCCATGTGTTTATTCATTTAATGTGTTTTACGATACCACTGGACTTTTGCTTTCTTTTGCCACAGTAGACTAACACAGCTACCCTTTCTGGTGTCCAGCACCCCGATTCGGCGCATGTTCCATTTGTGCTTGTAACGCCTCTACCGGATCCTTCCGTAGATTTCTGAACCAGGGTCAAGGGCCGGGGAAGCGGCAGGAGATTTTCTTTTTGTGCATCTGTGGAAATGCTTTGCGGCCCAAACCTGGGATCAGGTATCATCTCTAGTAATAAGTTTGTGACAGAATTAACGAGCTGCAGTTCCACAAGAAAGCATGGAAACAGTTTGGATGCCATCACTCCTTTCCAGATGCTTTGTCCTCAGCTTTTCAATCACAAGAACATGGAGGCCAAAATGCCCCCCCCCACATTGATAGGGATTGTGGGGGCCTTTTTGACCTAGTCTCAGTAGGCCCTGGAAGGGTTCCTCTTTCCTTGGTGGCCCTTGGGGTGTTTCCTTCCTTTCTGGAAGAGAGACCGAACCTCTCCTCAGGCTTCTTTTTCTCTGTCTTCCAGTAGAAAAGAGCAGGAGTCCGGTAGCACCGTAAAGACTAGCAAAATATGTGGCAGGGGAGGAGCTTTCGTGAGGCACGGCTCGCTTCTTCAGACACAACCAGTTTCTTTTTTAAAAAAATAAAAATCTGCCCTCAAAGGGTAGAATTTCATTTGTTTTTTCATAACAAACCAAACGTACACACATATAACACAAACGGGGGTATCAAATGCTTAAGTTTCCAATAATTGCCTCTTAGATATTCTCTATCTAATACAGTATAACGTATCATTATTTTCTATGAGCTCACATTTTTGTATCTTAAAGCCAACACCTGTACCTGCTATCTCAATATTCTAACCTATACGTTGCTCTAGGGATTACATTTTTAGGTTACAATCATTTGCGCTATTGTACCAATTATAGAAGCGCCTCCATGTGTTCTGGAATGTATTGTTGATAAGAGGATCCACAAAGTCAATTTTATCACTTTCCGCTGTTTCCATCAGTTTTTGTATATATTCCTGCTTTTTTGGTACATCTTGTGCCTTCCAGTATTTGGCATATAGCATTCTTGCCGCTGTAGTAAAGTAGATAATTAAATATCTGTTGCTTTAGTTTCTAGCTGTGTCTGAAGAAGTGAGCTGTGACTCACGAAAGCTCCTCCCCTGCCATGTATTTTGTCAGTCTCGAAGGCACTACCGGACTCTTGCTCTTTTCTGCTGCTACAGATGGAATAACACGGCTACCGATCTTGATCTGTCCTCCAGGTGACAGGAGCGTGAGAGAGACCACGGCAGAGGATGCTCACCTGGAAGTCCCCATGTCCGAAGAAGAAATGTCCCAGGAGATCGCTTCCTCCGTGACTATCGAGGGTGTGTATCCGTTACTGGATGTGTATAGACGTGGAGGGGAAGGAGCTAGCGTCGAGGCAAGGCTGAGCTAAAAAAGCAGAAAGCCTCCAGTTTGAATTTTCAACCATGAAATCACTGGGGCTGCTGTTTCTCGGGCTCTTTTCCTCTGCAAAGTCAAGGAGAGAAGCCAAGGAAGATCCATTTTTATTCTGTTTGTTAAAATACCATTGGCTGCTCTTTTCTTGTGTGTGTGTGTGTGTGTGTGTGTGTATGTGTGCCCTTATGGATCCAGGAAGTGGCTCACGGCCTTGAAATCAATGGAATTTGCTGTCAGATTATAAACAAAGGGGAATTTCACATTACCCAGTTTCACCCGGTTTCAAGCCGGTAATGATCCGTTTTGAAGTGAACCGGTATAGGGCTGCCATTTCACACAGGGCTTTCCCCTTCCAGTAAATAGCTGGATCTGAAGCAGTTTGCCATTTCAGACTGCACCGCTTTTTCCCGTCTTTCACCCGTGCAGGCGATCTCCGGCTGCTTTTTTTTAAAAAAAAACATTCGCGTTAGAGCGCTATAGCGCTATAGCAGTATAACAAAACATGCATTCCAATGGGATTGATATAGCACTATAAAGCAAACGGTTAAAAAAAAAGGCCGGAGATTGCCCGCGCGGGTGAAAAACGGCAGGAAAAAGCGCATCGGAACCGGGAGAGGAAACTGAGGAGTACTTGGAAGCGGTTGACAGGTAAAACGCTTCAGCCCCGTTTCCTAAACGGGACAGAAGCGATTGTGTATGAAATGACAAATATATTCCGGAAGGGAACCAGTTCTCAAACGTTTCTGTCTGAAATGACAGACCAGAAACCGTTTGGGAACTGTTCCTCTTCCGGAATATATCGCCTGTCTGAAATTCCTCGAACTGTATCTCTCCACCACCACCCCCTTGAAGAGGAGGGTACAGCCAGCCAATGTGGTGCAGTGGTTAGTGTGTTAGACTACGAAAGGGGAGATTTTGGGGTTCAAACCCCTGCTCGGCCGTGACATTCCATCGGTGATACCAGACAAGCCTTCCCTTCCCCAGCCATTCCTACCTCACAGGGTGGCTGTAAAGATGAACTGAGGGAATAGAGACCCATGGAAGCTGCTCTGAGCTCACTGCCAAAACCAGTGTGAAAACCAGCAATAGCGAGTTACTGGGTGGATCAGGGAGGACCACGCCAGTACTGCCAGTGGTGAGGGTGTTGCCTGCCTTTGTGTAGGCAGTTCAGAAGGGAAAACAGCCCGGCAGTATGCTGGCTTTCTTGGAAGCACGGAAGTGTGGAGGGGATGGCATAGCCTTTAGCTGACTGGCAGCTCTTTGAGAACTGGAAGCAGGAAGATGTGGGAACGTAGGCTGTGCCACCCCTTTGTGCCAAGGTGGCCTTCAATTGGGGAGGAGGACGGGCTTCAGATTCTCCTCAGGGTGCTGGCTGTGTCAGTACTGTTTTGAAAATACCTGGTGTGAAAGGAGTGTGAATTAAAGATCTGTGGAGACATTAGCTCCAGTTAAGGTGGTTGTAAAAAAAGCAGTTGTTTGAACGGTATCTGTCTGTTGGGAAACCTGTTACATCACTGCTGATGGAAACTTGGCATGTCTGGCGGGAAGGGTTTGTAACCTAGCATTTTAAGAACATAAGAGAAGCCATGTTGGATCAGTCCATCAGGAGGTCCACCAGCGGGGCCAGAACTCCAGAAGCCTTCCCACTGTTGCCCCCCCCCCGCCCCCAAGCACCAAGTACACAGAGCATCATTGCCCCAGAAACAGTGTTCCATCTATACTTTGTGGCTAATAGCCACTCACGGACCTCTGCTCCCTGCTAGTTTTCTAGGTGTGGGGCACTGTATTGTACTGAAGTTGTGATCGGTCGTGTGATCAGTGCTGCAGCAGTATGACCCACACACACACATGCTTTTACCACCTCAATAAGAATAAGGCACACGGCAGGCCTAATTTTCTGTGAGGTAATTCCGTGTTGGCCTGAAGCAGTAGAACAAATTTAGAGTCCAGTGGCACCTTTAAGGCCAACAAAGGTTTATCCAAGGTATGAGCTTTCTTGGGCATGCACACTTTTTCAAATACATTTTTTAAAGTGTGCATGCGCATGAAAGCTCTTACTTTGAATAAACCTTTGTTGGTCTTAAAGGTGCCACTGGACCTCTAAAAGTGTTCCTGTGAGGTAAGGCTGAAAAAGAACAAGGTCACCTCATAATTTTTATTTATTAATTAAAATTTTTCATTTTTATTTGTGTCAAAAAACAATTTACAAATAAATCAAACATATGAACAATATCAACAAGTCAAGTTCTAACTGTACATCATCAAAAGTTTGGGAAAATATAATCTTTTCAAGCATAAGTGAGATACAAACAATCCTTAAAGGTATCGAATATAATATAATTCGTATAAGATTACCTCATAATTGAGGGGGTGTTCAAACTCTGGTCCAATGCTCTAACGCCTGCACCGCTCTTTCCCCACAACGTAGGCAGGTCAAACTCTTGTCCTCTTTCATCGTTTCGTATAGTTTGGTTTGCAGCTCTTGTTTCTTTCTCGCGTTCTCATCGGGCATTGTGGGGGGGGGCTTCTTACAGCAGGTGACGTGTGGGAGAGCGACATCGAAGGGGAGCCATGTGGCGTGTCAGTAGGAAACGAGGGCATTGATGCAGAAGGGAATTGCGGGATTCGAGATGGAGCAAAGAACCAGGAGGAAACCAAACCAGCTGAGGAGTGCAACAGGAAACTAGCAGGTAGCTCCTTTGCCACCAGTTCAGGATCCCATTCTACCTTTGTGGCAGAATGAAATGGGAGAGTCGTTAGGGAATCGGGTGGATTTCTGGTGGCAGGATATGACTCAGTGGGAAGGGCAGTGGCTCAGCTGCAGAGCCTCTGCCTGGCATGCAGAAGGTCCCAGGTTCAATCCAGGTAGTAGGTGATGTGGAAGTCTTCCGCCTGAGACCCTGGAGTGCCACTGCCAGTCTGAGCAGACAGTGCTGACTTTGATGGACCCGTGGTCAGATTTAGTATAAGGATGCTTCATGTATGAGTTTTGGGATGCTCCCCTATGTTAAGAAGGGAGCATCTTACAATCTCCTTTCCCTCCTCCTCCCCACAACAGACACCCTGTGAGGTTGGTGGGGCTGAGAGAGCTCTCCGAAGAACTGCCCTTGAGAGAACAGCTCCAAAAGAACTTGTGATTGACCCAAGGTCACACCAGCAGCTGCATGTCGAGGAGTGGGGAATCAAACCCGGTTCTCCCAGATTAGAGTCCGCGCTCCTAACCACTGCACCAAACTGGCTCCCTGCACATAGGAAGCTGAGACAGCAGGCGAAAAGCTTTGGCCCCGATGTCCTAGTTACCTAACTTGCAAGGTGTGGAAATTCCTACCTTGTTTTTTTTTTTTTTTTTAAACATAGCTGATAATTCAAAAAATGGTATTCCCTATGCAGTTTACTACCTAGTTCCCATTGTGAGGGTTCATGATTGGATCTCCCCAGTGAGCCTTAAGCATCCGTTGGGCCTTGTGTGGATCAGGACCAGTGTTCCCTCTAAGCTGAGTTAGTGTGAGCTAGCTCACAGTTTTTTAGCCTCCGGCTCACACATTTTTGTCTTCGCTCATGAAGGAGGGCTCCAGAGTAACGTAATTTATGCAGTAGCCAAGTCGCTCGCTCACAATTTTGATGCCAGTCGCTCACAAAGTGGAATTTTTGCTCACAAGACTCCACAGCTTAGAGGGAACATTGATCAGGACCATGGCCCTGTGGGAGACTGAACCCACCCCCCGAGGGCCCACTCCATAGTGAGGCCTTTCGAGATGGTTTCCCACAGCGACAGATTGCGGGGTGTAGTAGCCTCTCCTGTCTGGCCTGCTGCTGGATCGCCCTCCGTTGCCTGGGTGCCAGAGACAATATTCCTCCCTACTCCCTCGCTCCCCCAGGCCTCTTTAAAAAAAGGGTGGCCAGCCGTGCAAGCCAGTTTCTGAACTCCTGTATGATCTCCCTCCCCAGGCTGTGTTCTGCCTGTTTTTGCACCCTGGCCGAAACTAAAATCAGTCCCGACAGGGCATTTTTAAGTAATAATAATAATAATACTTTCCATTTATTAATCGCTTTCCCCAGTGGGCTCAAAGCGATGTACAGTTACTCAATATAGACAAGGGACTAACAATGTTTGTAGGAGATAGGGAAGACAACATATATTCCTTTTTAATTGCGCGCGCCGTCACTGCCCGGTATCGACGTCTTCTGGCTTGGCTCCGTCATTTTCCCCACGGCTGCGTGCTGGCCAGGCTTCAGGACCTGTATGTCAATTGCCACACTGCCACCGCCTGGCCGGAACATCCATTGCAGGGATTCTTTCCTGGCCGAGAAGCTATTTCGCCTTCCAAGCCTCGACCAGTAAGGAAGTGAAACCGGCAGCAATTTACCCCCACTTTACCTTGTGCTGCGTCTCCCATCTATATCACGCCTCTCCCTCCTCAGTTGCTCTAAATTGCTCATCAGCCGTTCCGATGGCAGATCCCCATGTAGTCTGGCCTTTGTTTTGCTTTTAGATGCAGGTGTCCTCTGGCTTATGACATTTGTCTCTTCCTTCTGGCAGGTGATGGCCACGTTCAGGAAGAACCGTCCCAAGAAGGCGAAGTGTCATTGGACAAAGACGAAGGGGGAGTCTTCCAGAGTCCGAATACAGAAGAGTTTTCTGGAAACTTGGAGGGAATGGAAAGGTCCCAGCAAGCCTCGCAAGGGAAAACGGCAAAAGAAAATCCATATAAATGCGCCCACTGTGAAGAGAGCTTCCCTAAGAGATCACAGTTGGTTATGCATGAGAAGAGTCACGGTGGGGAGAAGCACATCTGCTCGCAGTGTGGCAAATGTTTCTCTTACCAGTCCGATCTTGTAAGCCACGAGAGAAGCCACAGCGATGAGAAACCATACCAGTGCTTGGACTGTGGGAAGAGCTTTCGTGAGAAAGCATATGTTGCGCAGCACCAGAGAATCCACACGGGAGAGAGGCCGTACGCGTGCTCCGAGTGTGGGAAAAGCTTCTTCCGCAGAGGGTCCCTCATTTTGCACGAGAGAATCCACACGGGAGAGAAGCTCTACAAGTGCTCGGACTGTGGGAAGAGCTTCAATCGGAAGCCACACCTCGCGGTCCACAAGCGAATCCACACAGGAGAGAAGCCGTACGAGTGCTCGGACTGTGGGAAAAATTTCACGGTGAAGTCTGCTCTTAATGTCCACATGCGAACCCATTCAGAAGAGAAGCCCTACATGTGCTCCGTTTGCGGGAAAAGCTTCCGCGAGAAAGGAACCCTTAACATACACAAGCAGAGCCATACGTCTGAAAAGCCGTACCAGTGCGCCGAATGTGGGAAATGCTTCAGTTACACCGCATCGTTTAGGAGACATAAGAAGACTCATGCCAGGGGTGCTGCCGTGAAATCGTACGAATGCCCCGAATGTGGGAAAAGCTTTGGCCGCAAAGACTACCTTATCACACACCGGAGAATCCATACAGGAGAGAAGCCTTATGTCTGCCCCGTGTGTGGGAAAGGCTTCAATCACGGTGCAACTCTGGTTACGCATAAAAGAACCCATACAGGAGAGAAGCCATATGAGTGCTCCGAGTGCGATAAAAGCTTTAAACAAATTTCGGGCCTCATCACACATCGGAGAACGCACACTGGAGAGAAACCATACGAATGTTTGGACTGCGGCAAACGCTTTATTCTGAAGTCCTACCTTGATGTACACAAGAGAATCCACACCGGAGAGAGGCCCTATCAGTGTGCTCAGTGTGGGAAAGGCTTCTCTTGCTCTTCTTATCTTTTGAGACACGAGAAAACCCACACAGGGGAAAGACCACATACGTGCTCTGAGTGCGGCCAAAGCTTTCACTGGAAACGTTCCCTCATTATGCACAAGCGCAAGCACACGGGAGAACAGACTCTGCACGAATGTGTGGTCTGTGGCAAAAACTTCAGCTGGACGTCTGCTCTCGCTGTGCACATGAGGACTCACACAGGTGAGAAACCATATGCCTGCTCCGAGTGCGGGAAGCAATTCAGTGGCAAGTGGATCCTCATCCAGCACAAGAGAATTCACACTGGAGAGAAGCCGTACGAATGCCCTGAGTGCAGGAAAACCTTCCATGCAAAGTCGTCCCTTCTCGCACACCAAAGAACCCACACTGGAGAGAAACCGTACGAATGTTCCGAGTGTGGGAAAAGCTACAGCGTGAAAGCAAACTACGTTGCGCATCTGAGGACGCATACGGGAGAGAAACCTTATGAGTGCTCTGATTGTGGGAAAAGCTTCTATAAAAAAGATCGCCTGATGACGCACAGGAGAACCCACACAGGAGAGAAGCCATACCAGTGCTCTGTGTGTGGGAAAGGGTTCAACTGGAAAGTTGGTCTGATTAACCACATGAGAATCCACACGGGAGAGAAGCCATATGCATGCTCCGAGTGTGGGAAATGCTTCCATAAGAAAGATCACCTTGCTAGACACGAGATCATCCATACAGGCGAGAAACCCTACGAGTGCTTCGAGTGTGGGAAAAGCTTTAATCAAAAAGTCGCCCTCATTGTGCACAAGAGGACTCACACAGGAGAAAAACCATATAAATGCTCAGAGTGCGGGAAAAGTTTCAGCTGGAAAAAATCACTTATTACGCACAAGGCCGCCCATACGGGAAAGAAACCCTACGAATGTTCTAAGTGTTCGGAAAGCTTCAGCCGACGTTCCCACCTTGCAGAACATGAAAGCACGCACACAGGTGAGAATGCACAGAAATGTGATTAAAAACACAAGGCGAGATTCCCCCCACACACACACACTGGTCTTCATAATTATTGTAGAATCTACTTGGGGATGATGCAGTAGGAATGGATGCTTATTCACTTGTGGTCAAAGACTGATCCCAAAGGAGTTCAAAATTTTATTTATTTATATATTTATTTGGATTTATATCCCGCCCTCCCCTTAACCGGGCTCAGGGCGGGTTCCAACAGTACAAAATACAATGCAATCAAAACCATATTAAAACGCAATATAAAATAACATGGCTCATATGTGCCATAAAGGTAAAGGTTCCCTTGCTCGAAAGCCAGTCGAGTCCGACTCTAGGGTTGCGGTGCTCATCTCCATTTCAAAGCTGAAGAGCCAGCGCTGTCCGAAGACGTTTCCGTGGTCATGTGGCCGGCATGACTAAACACCAAGGCGCCCGGAACGCTGTCACCTTCCCACCGAAGTGGTACCTATTTATCTACTTGCAATTTCTTGCTTTCGAACTGCTAGGTTGGCAGGAGCTGGAACTAGAGATGGGAGCTCACTCCCGTCATGAGGCACCTGGGTCTCGAACTGCTGAACTACTGACCTTCCACAGCCCTCAGTTCAGTGTCTTAACCACTTGAGCCACCGCAGCTCCCTACTGGGCTCCCTACTGACACACAAAATAAATGTGAATGGGGGAGTGAACCACTGAACATCCAAGGTAGTGGGTGTCTAAATGATCCCATTGTGGGAGGAAACTTTTGCTTAATAATGCAATAGCTATTTTGTGTTGTTTTGGCAGTTATGTTAATGTCGGCTTCTTAAAAATAATTTGGGGCTCGCCCTGAGCTGGATAGTCCAGGCGAGCTCAATCTTGTCAGATCTCGGAAGCTAAGCAGGGTTGACTCTGGCCAGTACCTGGACAGGAGAGGTCCTTGGAATACCAGAGGCTTTATTCAGCCACCTCTCTGAATATCCTCCAGGCCCCCAGTAGGCGTCAGTCACCAGAGGTCGCCATGACTTCCAGGTGCACACACACACACACACGGCAAAAAACCCCATTGTTATTAATAATAATAATAATAATAATAATAATAATAATAATAATTTGGGGCTCCAAGAGGTTTTGTTGAAGGTAAACATTCATGAGCTTGATCAAGACCAGAGAATTTAACATCGGAAGGATCAGCGCAGTTAGTGACCCAGGCTTAGATATCATACCTGTGGCTTTTATTTTTGTAGACCCAGAGATACAACTGTACACTGCTGGTGGTATCTAGGTCAGTCTAATCACACACACACACCTTTGTTCTTGTTAGCAAAGAGCTTTTTCAAAGCCTGAGGAGATGAGGGGGGGAGGTCGTGGCTCCGTGGAAGAGCCTCTTCTTTGTAGGCAGAAGGTCCCAGCTTCAATCCCTGGCATCCTCTGTTAAAAGGAGATAGTCGTCGCTGATGCGAAGACCTCTGCCCAAGACCTTGGAGGGTCACTGCAGGTCTGACTCTGCAGTATTGACCTTGATGGACCAAGAGTCTGATTCGATATTTGGTAGCTCCATGTGAGGGGAGGGGGTCATGTAGACATTACCAGCCCATATGGATGTCACGGAAGCTTATCCCTCCTGGTGTGGACTGACTAGGCTGCCGCATGTTGTAGATGGTTCCATCCGCTGTGTCATGTGCCACCTGTGCAGAAGTCTCCTCCCTCAGGGAGTTGCCCTATACCAAACTGGACTATTGGCCTGTCAAGGTCAGTGCCGTCTACTTTGATTGCCAGTGGTTCTTCAAGGTCTCAGGTGGAGGTCTTTCATATCACTGGAGATGCCGAGGTTTGAACCTGGGACTTTCTGCAGGCAAAGGTCTTTCTCCTTCCCAGATTGTTCTCCACGACCCGTGAGAAGGCGTCGGCATGGGTTCGTCTGATCGTTTTGTACAAAAATCTGCCAGATACAGGGAGGAGCATTGCATTGGGAAGGGGCTTTGGGTGGAACTCCCCTCTACCTTGCTCCCAACAGAATTTCCTCTGCTTCTTTCCCAAGTGGAAGAGCAAGCTGCAAAGTGATTCACAAAATAAATTCACATTGTTCGACTGCTCTAGGCAATTCTTTAAAAAAATATCTAGTCAAAGAGTGTTTTAGGTGTGTAGTCATGTTAGGCTGTAGTAGGAGAGCAGAAATTCAAGTCCAGTAGCGCCTCAAAGACCCACACGGTTTTCCAGGGTGTAAGCTTTCATGAGTCAAAGCTCACTTCATCAGATACATGAAGATCCATCTGCCCTTATATTCCAGTCAGAAGATGGGAGGGTTCGGGTAACTGATAGATCTTCATTTCCATCCATATTTGTACCTTGCAAATTGAGCTGTAACTCGCAAAAGCTTTATACCTTGGAGAATTTTCTTTAAGGTGCTACCAGCCTAGAATCTGAATAAAAGAGTGAAAACTCTACAAAAATCCTTAGTGTGCCCGAACTTGCTGCTTTCCTCTCTCTCATTTAACGGAGGGGGGGGGGGGCCTAAAAGCATCCCACAGAGCACAAGTAGTCCGTGAAGCACCATTCTGCCAATGTCATTGTAGTTCCCCACACGGCTTCCTCCTTTTGAGATCAACCATCTTGTTTTGTCAGTTTCAGCTTTTGTCACTGCACCTCAAGAACTCTCTGTGGAAGAAATAAACACCGCTGTGGTAAGGAAGACGTTAAAGTTTTGTTTTGCTCCGAGAAACGAATCATTCAGTTGGTGGGCCTCTGGGCCTCATCAGCCGCATCTGTGGTTTCCACCATTTCCTTTTGGCAGCTGTTATTGGTTACTGCAGCCATAATGTGAACAAGATATCTTTAGGCTGCGATCTTGTTTACTTTTCCTTGGGATTAAGTGTCAAGGAAAAAACAGGCAGCTCTTGGAGGCCCAGAGAGAATACCTTTGTTCTTAATCTAGGTAAAGGTAAAGGTTCCCTTGCTCGAAAGCCAGTCGAATCCGACTCTAGGGGTTGCGGTGCTCATCCCTGTTTCCGAGCCGAAGAGCCAGCGCTGTCTGAAGACGTTTCCGTGGTCCCTATTTATCTACTTGCAATTTCTTGCTTTCGAACTGTTAGGTTGGCAGGAACTGGAACTAGAGACGGGAGCTCACTCCATCATGCGGCACCCGGGTCTCGAACTGCTGAACTACTGACCTTCCACAGCCTGCAGTTCAGCGTCTTAACCACTTGAGCCACTGCAGCTCCAGATGTTCTTAATCTAGCAAAGAACAAAAGAAGAAAAATATAGGCAAGCAGTCTCCAGGAGAGAGAGAGATTTCCCTGAATCCCGAAAGTTCCTATCTGGACCGAATTCCAAAGCAGTTTATATAGTATCTTCAGTACGGATATGCATACAGTACTCTACATAGGTCCCAAATTCTTTTCTCACATCAACCTAGGATTTATCCCTGAGAGCAGGTGCAAGCAAGCTGTTATCTTTCTCCAGACCCTGGGCTTGCGTTTGCAACTATAGATCACTATAAGGCACGTAGCATTCCTAACCTGTACCCTCTTTGCTTTTGTTTTTTTAATTATTCTTTTCTCCCAAAAAAGGTGGGATACAGAAGGGAAAAGGGGGTGAGGGAAAATATAAATTCATCAGGTTTGCCAAGTAATGTGAATTGTTACGTACAACAGGATCAAATATATTACCAAATATATAGAGAAGCAGACATTAAAACATCAATATTACAGAATTTGGGGACAGATTCTCTCTTTAAAGAGTAAACAAGAATTTTCCTAAGGTTAGCGATAATCTGTTAGCAATAAAAAAAGTTACATCTTTAACAACTGAACGAACCTGTACCCTGTTGAGCACCACATATGATTCCAGGTATCTTGGCCTTGTTTAACCCTCTCACCACATATACAGAAAAGCCCTTGCAGGTTCCTTGTGTGGGGGGACAGAATTTCTGAAAACGTTACATTCTCCATCCATGTTTACATCCTCTCTGTTGTCTGGTACGCATGAGATCTGTAACCTGGTACCCATTTAGTTTGTATCGGCTACTGTCCACTGTGTTTTCTGTAATCCTTCCCAGACATTTGCAAGTTTAGAACTAGTGGGAGAGCTTTCATGACCCCGTTTGATAGTTGGACCTCTTCCCGTGAAACTCAAGCATAGTTCCTTTTTGTATTGTACAGTCGGTGTGAATCTGCCTTAACCCAGAGTTGGACTCATTCATCTGTCCACCTTTGTTTGGTGTGGTGGTTAAGTGCGCAGACTCTAATCTGGGAGACCCGGGTGTGATTCCCCACTTGCACCTGGCTGGATGACCTTGGGCAAGCCGTAGTTCTGGCACAGCTGTTCTTGAAAAGGGGCAGTTTCTGTCAAGAGTTCTCTCAGCCCCACCTGTGGTGGGGAGGGAAAGGGAAAGGAGTTTGTAAACCGCTCTGAGACTCCTTTGGGTAGTGAAGGGCGGGGTATAAATCCAATCTCCTACTCCTACTACTACTACTACTACTATCCTGGTTGAAAGTGGCTCTCTGAGATCTCAGGCACGAGTGGGTCTCCTGCTACATGAGATCCTTTTTAGATGGAGAGGTGCTAGCCCGGTCTTGTCAGATCTCAGAAGCTAAGCAGGGTCTGCCCTGGTCACTATTTGGATGGGAGACCCCCCCAAGGAAATCCAGGCAGAGGCAGGCGACGGCCAAACCACCTCTGTTAGTCTCTTGCCTCGGAAACCCCACCGTAAGTCAGCTCCAGCTTGACACTGGCAGGTCTTTGGGTGGGAGATCGCCAAAGAACACCAGGGCCAGGAGGCAGAGACAGGCTAATAATAATAATAATAATCTTTCGATTTATTAATCGCTCAATCCTTGCATAGCTGCTGGCTCTGAGCGATTTACAGTTACGTATTCACAAGGGACTAACAATAATAGGGGTAAGGGAGGACAACATATATCTTTAAATCGCACACATTTCGCAGCCGACGGGGAGTTTATCCAGCTGTAAGCTTCAGACGTGTTCCAACAGCATTCTCCCTCTGCGTG